TATGTATATGTAGGGGTGTAGGTCTATACATATGTTGTACATAGTATGTTTAGGTGTGTGTCATGAATGTGTTTCACTCTGACAGCGGGCAACTAATTTTCATTTTTCATGTGTGCCATTGTGCCCACAGTAAAAAAATGTCAATAAAGGTTATCTTATCTTATCTATCTTATATTATTATTATTATTATTATTATTATTATTATTATTATTATTATTATTATTATTGATCATTGCAGTCAGCCAGATGTTGAGACTGGATTTGGCATTTTGTCTACCTATTGAGTCCTTACCAAGGAACTAGGATAGGCAGATGTGGATGTTTGATGTTATTACAGATATCGTTGCACGATGGAGGCAGTTCCTAGTAAGGCCGCCTTTTGTAATTGACTAATGGCAAATTTGTCAATGCCAATGGTGTCCAAGTGGTGCTCCAGTTGTTTTGGGATTGCACCCAAGGTGCCTATTACTATTGGTACTACTCTTGCTTGCTTTTACCACAGTTTTTCTATTTCTATTTGTAGGTCTTTGTATTTTGTTATCTTTTCCAGTTCTTTCTTGTCTATTCTGCTGTCTCCAGGCACTGCCAAGTCCACTATCCAGACTTTTTTGTCTTTCTTATCGACAATTGTTAAGTCTGGGGTGTTATGTTGCAGGTGCTTGTCTGTTTGAATTCTGAAGTCCCAGAGCAGTTTAACTTTATCATTTTCTATGACTTTCTCTATTTTATGATCCCAGCAGTTCTTGTTTACAGGCAAATGATATTTCTTGCAGATCTTCCAATGCACCATTGTTGCTACTTTGTCATGCCGCTGTTTGTAGTCAGTCTGTGCGATCTTCTTGCAGCAGCTTACCAGGTGGTCCACTGTTGTTGTTATTATTATTATTTATCGCACAGTCAGTCAGATGTTCAGACTGGATTTGGCATTTTTGTCTACATATCAAGTCCTGTGGATGTTTGAATTGATGGCATTACAGATATTGTTCTAGGATGGAAGATGTTCCTAGTAACGCTGCCTTTTACAATTGACTGATGGTGAATTTGTCAATGCTGATGGTGCCCAAGTGATGCTTCAGTTGTTTTGGGATTGCACCCAACGCACCTATTACTATTGGTACTACCCTTGCTTGCCTTTGCCACAGTCATTCTATTTCTATTTGTAGGTCTTTGTATTTTGTTATCTTCTCCAGTTCTTTCTCTTCTCTTCTGCTGTCTCCAGGTACTGCCAAGTCCACTATCCAGACTTTTTTGTCTTTCTTATCGACAATTGTTAAGTCTGGGGTGTTATGTGGCAGGTGCTTGTCTCTTTGAATTCTAAAGTCCCAGAGCAATTTAACATTTTCATTTTCTAAGACTTTCTCTATTTTATGGTCCCACCAGTTCTTGCTTACAGGCAAATGATATTTCTTGAAGATCTTCCAATGCACCATTGTTCCTACTTTGTCATCCCGCTGCTTGTAATCAGTCTGTGCGATCTTCTTGCAGCAGAACTTTGACTGTTCAAAGTTACAACAGCACTGAAAAAAGTGAGTTATGACTGTTTTTTACAATTACAACTGTTGCAGCATCCCTATGGGCTTGAGATCAAATTTCAAATGCTTGGCACCTGACTCATACTTCTGACGGTTGCAGTGTCCCAGGGTCATTTGATCACTGTTTGTGACCTTCTGACAAACTAAGTCAATGGGGAAGCCAGATTCACTTAACAACCATGTTGCTGACTTAACAACTGCAGTGATTCACTTAACAACTGTGGCAAGAAAGTTTATAAAATGGGACAAAATTAACTTAAAAACTGTCTCACTTAGCAACAAAAATTTTGGGCTTAGTTGTGATAGTAAGTCAAGGACTATCTGTATTAATAAGTGAATTGATGGTTTCAGACTCAAATTAATGGGATTTAATAAGTTAGGATTTCAATAATTCTACTGTATGCTTGGATCCAACTCTTTATTAGTTAGCATAGTTTCCAAGGTTATCTGTTAAAGTGAGCCAACGTTTTATGGAAAATAAGCCTTGGCTTATTTTTGATAATAACTGAACTCAAACAGAAACTGAACTTGCTAAGTACTTGTCACAGCAGCTATCATAACTAATTTGTCCTTTCAAAGAAACTGATTATATTATGGCTGATTGATAACTTATCACTGATTTTCTTTGCTATTTTCTTAGCAAAATTTTGATAATCACTCAACTTCTTTTGTTTTTTAAAAAATCAAGGGCACATAGTATTTAAATTTATTCTAATAAAAAAATTGCCCTTCTATCCTACACAGGAAAACAAATGTAGATTTTTGATATGAATAATGATATAGGTAAACAAAAGTAAAGAAAAAAAATCAGCAGAGGACAGCTATTGGGAATATAAAGCTAGGGACACAACAGTAATAACTCTGCACCTAATTTCTGGATCCTATTGATGAAGACATCATGAAGTGGGTGGTTCTGACACTAATGTATCTCCACCTATCAGAGGAAGTGGAGGGTGTGTGTGTTTCAGTCAATTGTGGCAAGACTAAGGATCTATCAAGGTTGGCTAACTGAGGACATACATTGCCAAAATTACATGGAAAAGTCATAATCTTATCTTCTTATCTTTATATAATTATATAAATAAACTGACTTAATAAATCTTCCCTGAATTTTTAAGGCTCTCATTTTTTAATCCATTCAGAAAGAAGTCCAGAGCTGGTTTTCTATTTATCTGTTTTTGTAGCCACAAAACTTTTAAAACTTTAGCATATTTATTTCGTAAAGGAAATCAACCCTCGCTGTTCTTTAGAAGGACAGGTACTGAAGCTGAAGGTCAAATACTTTGGCCACTTAACGAGAATTGAAATCTCATCAGAAAAGATACTGATGTTGGGAAAGATTTAAGCAATGGTGGGATTCAGCCAGTTCGCACCAGTTTGGCAGAACCGGTAGCTAATTTTTTGTTGCCCAGGCCCAGAATGAACTTCCAGAAGCGGCATCCACACCGAGAACCGGTTGTTCACATATTTGAATCCCACCACTGGATTTAAGACAAAAGGAGAAGGGGACAGCAAAGGATGAGATTGTTAGACAGTGTCATTGGCAAAATGAACATGAATTTGGGCAAATTCCGGGAGACAGTGGAAGGGGGGGGCTCCATGGTCCATGGAGTTGCGAAGAATCAGACATGACTTGCCAATTGAATAACAAAAGTAAATAACATTTGTACTTTTGTTTGCCCCCCCCCCCCCTGAAAAATCATTAAAATAATTCAATCATTCATATCCAAATTCTTTTGTATATCCAGTAAGAAGGAGTTATACAAATTCATTTTCGGGCTCAATACTTACACATATTATTTAGGAAATAGATCATCCATCTATTCCATTTGTATATCCATATCTTTCTCCATATTATTGCTTACGATGGTTAATCCCTCTTCAAAGTAATTTCAAAATTATCCATTGCAGCTTGTCCTTGATCTATAAATTGATTACTCACAACAGAAGTTGTCCATTTTATCAAGAAGTTTGTCTATTTTTTTTTCAAAAAGATAGGCAAAAAAGCACAATAACTCCTGTTATGGAATTCTGCCCCATTTTTTTCTTATCATAAAATGTGAAAAGCAAACACCAGTTTTTGTGAGAAAATTTCCCTAATTATATTAAAGCTATAACTCCAAATCAGTCTGGACCCTTAATCCATAGTTATTTATTTATCTTATTGTATTCATTAGATTTTATCATGGTTTTATTACTTTATTAGCTTTTAATTTTTAATTAACTTTTTGAAATCCATATCCTGGGTACTCTTTTGCTGTATAATCCAAAAACTCATATATTCCAAAAGTTCTTAAAATCAAATTTGTACCATCTTCCTCTAAGGGCTACAGGGACTCCTCAAAGGAATACAGGAAAATCTTGCTGACCTGAAGGGGCTTTGTCTCTCCAACAAAACAACAATAATTAAAAAAAGAAATCCAAAAAGTGATTAGGAAATAAGACTCAGTAGAACTCAATGCCCATAGAAGGCTGTGCTGCATGGGGTGAGCTTGGTAGCATCCGCACTTCCAACTGCTCATAAGCCACTCACAGAGTGACAATTTCTGTGGTCTACTCAAGAAAAGTGGCTGTCTGGAATTGTGAATAATCTCAACAATCCCTTGGGAGAGATTTCCCTGGACTGGATCCTGCATCAAGGAGTGATTTCTTTACAAATACAGTACAATCTGATAAATCAGTGGAATGTCAGCTCGTCATGGTGCTCACCAGAAGTCATTGTGTAGAATACTAATCTATGATTATTAAATAAAAATGTGGAAATCTGAAATAGTAGTTCAGCTTATGTTTCTCATAGATAAATGAAATGTGAAAAATGTTTTCATAAAATATATGAAGGATTAGTAGAAAATATGAGTTGGAAACATCTCTGGCAGATTGTTCCACTTGACAATTTGGGATTCTTTTACTTTCACAACTGGGAATGGAAGGATGAATTGACACAGTCAGGTTCTGGAATATCAAATTTCATGCAGGACAGAACCACCATGTTTTCCAAGGTTCAACAAAACTTTAGTAAGCATAAATTGAATAAAAAGTAACCTTGTCTAACCTTACAAAGATACTAGAGCAATTGGGATTATTCATTCATTTTCCATTAGTTCTTAAAACAATAGAGCAGCTTCCAAGGAAACTGATTATAGTTTTCCATATTGATATGTTATCATATATTATCTTTGCTAGCAGGTAAGGCTTTGTGAAGCCAAATTCTATTAATTTTTTATTTAACATCAAGGGCAAAAATTCAGTTGAAATTAAATCAAATAGAATTCCTATTATCCATAAGAAAACAAAATATATTGATATTGGCTTGTTATAATAAGATTAAACAGAGAGATGGGGGCACAAGAACAAAGAGATTAAATAGCAGCGAACAGTTGCCTTGGATATAAAAGTGGAGTGAGAGCAGCCTAGTTGTTGGCAAAAGTTTTGGATTCCCTGAGATAATCACCCACGATGCCAAGTATCATGAAGTCGTTGATCCTGGCATTAATTTGTATCCACCTGTCAAAAGGTATACATAGGTGAGTATCTCAGCTAAGATCATATATTAAATGAAAATAGCATTGAAACAATCTAGAGCACATCACTTTTAGTCAAAAAATAATAGCAAAATTATGTTTTTATCGTTCCATGGCAAGCTTTAGCATTCCTGCTTCTTCGCTTAATCTCCTGTTTGTGTCGTATTTGTTCGGTGGGATATTATTGTTTCTAGTAACAAAATATTAAAAAATATGCAGATTGTTGTGATAGGTAAGGACATTCTGACTATCTTTCTTGGTATGTAGAATCATTCTGAAGACAGGAAAATCCATTCGTGAAAATATGAGAGAAAATGGAGTGTTGGAAGAATTTTTAGAAAAATACCATATTGACCCTGGATTAAAATATCAGTTCAATAAATTTGGTGTTACATATGAACCAATGACCAATTATTTGGACGTGAGTATTTAAACCACAGAAATCTGTTTTTTTCTTTTCCCGCTCCTTCATCTGACTTTCTAACTCTAGCGTTTTAGTTTATTATTGGTACATTGTGATAGCTCTTCTCAGAATCAAATAGGATGTTATTTATGTATAATGAAGTATCACTTAATTATTTCATCTTTTCTTTTTCCCATGAGTAACTGTAAATTGTTTGCCGATGCTTGAGCATAGGAAAGAACACAATCCATTTATTTATTTCAGTCAATTTTTGATGCTACCTGATTATTCAGCAACATATTTTGCAGATTATTAGTTTTTGCTGATTATTCTTTCTGATTATTATTCAGCAAAAATAGTTCTCTGTATTTTATTAGTGTCACATGATTGGATCACTATTTTCTGACAATAATACCCAGATATGTCCATCTTATTAAAGAGCAACTTAATTTAATATGTATTTGGGTTTTTTTTTTTTTTTACTATGACCGGTGAGCTTTCTGGGTTAGGGCTGCAATTTCTCTTTATTGATTTACTCCGATTAAATAAAAGACAAGGCGAGCAGTCCATGCATAACTTACTCCCAAAGAAGTGACGTAGTCTACAACTGGAATTATACAGTAAATCCATTTACTTCTGAATAAGTCACATTGGATCCAAACACTATATTTGATAGTAACAAGAAGCCTTGGTCTTAAAGCCTCATACAGTCCAGTGTACTCTAAACCAACATTTGGTTTATTTGTTCATTTCATACTCAACACCACTAAAAAGACAAATAACCCTTCAGATTTTTAAATGTTTTTTCTCTCCTTTTCATGGAGAATGGGCAAGGTGAGAATAGAAAATAACTGTTTTTGTGAATGAATAGAAATCTAGTTTCCGTATAGGGCTGCCAAGATTTGGGCTGCAAAAATCTGGAGACTGTGAGATGGCAGCAAACAGTGCACTGTGCCTCTTTGCTGACATTTTGTAGTCACCTGAATGTTTGTAGCCCTAGAAGAGGTTCCTGTAGTCATAGAGATACTTCTGAGGTCCCACTAGACGGCAACATTTCAGGGAAGGGATTGGAGAGTGTCTCCCCTATTTAATCTCTAGGACGGGCATGTACTGTCAGGGAGAGGTAGGCCCCTACTTATTTAGCTATTCTGATATTTTTGTGAAACCTGCCTCATAAATATTTTCATTTGATAGTCTTTTTACTTTGGAAAAATAAGCATTGGGACTCCACCACAAGATTTTCTTGTTGCTTTGGACACCGGCTCTGGTGATCTGTGGGTACCTTCTACATACTGTACAACAAAGGCCTGTGGTGAGTAATCCGTTCCCTTGCTGAATGTTTTGAATGTCTACTTCTAGAGAAAACATTTATTTTTGTCAAAACCAAATACATCTCCCCTTATTTTAAACCATTTATACCTTGTCCATTGGCAAGGAACCTTTTCCGAGTTGCAGACCCTAACTCAACTTTCCAGTCAGTGATGGGATCACTGAAGGAAACAGCTGAAAGTGTGGACCCTTTTTTCATCATTTTAGGTCCTTTGAGGGGGTAAAGATAGGAATTAAACAGTTTCATCTGATTTTGCTCTTACCTGCACCCTTATTATTATTATTATTATTATTATTATTATTTACAAAATTGAAACTAGTTGGTGCCTACAGCACAGTATTGGATTTCCCATTTGGTAACTGTATATTTCATTTGCCAAGGCAAAAATGACGATCAGTTTATGAGAATAAATTCTAAATTCTAAGTGTGTCACTGGTCCAAAATGACCCAAGTCATGTACAGCTCTATACATAATGGAAGTGCACTTCGTAATACCTCAGGAATTATTTTAAAATGTTGAAAGTTGCCAAGTTGTCCATAGTTTTGCTTTGATCTAGGTCCACAAAAGAGGACATCTTGACCTATATTAATAAGGATGTTTCTTATGCATCTTTGTGAGAAATGCCTCTTTCAAACACTTTCTACCCCCTTGCTATTTCAGTGTGAGCAATTAAATTTTTGATGTGGGCTTTTCCTACAAGATGAGGGAATGAAAAAGTGTGGGCTGGTAGTGATTTAAGTACAGGTCTGTTGTGATTTAAGTATAAAGAAAAAGATCTTTCACTACACATAGAGCAAAACTTCTACTCTTTATTTTTTTCTTGTTTTGTTGTAGGAAACCATAATCTATTTAACCCAAAACAGTCATCTACTTATTACAGCTATAGTGACCAAACCTACGTCCTGGGCTATGGATCTGGTGACTTGAGTATAATGCTAGGTTTTGATACTGTACGGGTGAGTGGATTAATTCATTAGAATTAGCTCTTATTTATTTATATTATATTTATAACTATTTTAGGGGACCATTACATAAAATAAGCATTAAAATGATCATAAATCTAAAGAGAATAAACACAAGCTTGAGTTGAACAAGACATTATGCTTTATTTATTTTTATTTATTATTTTTATTTCATTGTTTTATTATATCATTATTATGATAAAGAAATGTGAATTTCAAGAGACAGTGCAGAGTTGCAATGCTATAACCTACAAGTGAAATCCATTCTTCAATCTTGTTTCTCAGATCCAGAATATTGTAGTTCAAAAGCAAGAGTTTGGATTGAGTGTGAATGAACCCACCCAACCCTTCTACTATAGCTACTTTGATGGCATTTTGGGTTTGACCAATCCTTCTCCAAATTACGGGGGATCATACACACTCTTGCACCAGATGATGAGTCAAAACCAGATTTCTGAACCCATTTTTAGCTTTTACTTCTCACGGTAAGATTAACCGCATCATATTTGTGACATAGCATGTAAGAATAATTATGGTTTTCTTCCAGAATGAGTTACCTGGAATACAGCAATTTACTTTTATTTCATGGCTCAATCCCATCATCACAAATATAATCAAGTTCAAGCAATGAATGATATCGAAAGAGAGGGGAAACATCAGGATAACAAAGAGATTTAAAATTATTTTTGAGTTAAATCATTGCTGGTTTAAAAACTTATGTTGTTAAGTGCAAGCAACCAGAACAGATCCAAGGTCAAGAGATTTGTTTATT